CCCTGACTGCACCGGATAAATACATTAACATAGTGTCCCCAGCATAGAGGTGTAGTGTCCATGCCGTTTGTGGGAACAAGAGGAGCCCCAGAGGTGTGACTTCAGCCCCAAAGAGCCGAGTATGATGCCTGCTGTTCCTGGGGGGCTCCACGGGGACACAGGTCCCCTCCAGGGGTGCAAATGGAGGTGACATCAGGTACAGTCCTAAGGTCTGCAACCCAGCAGGGGAAACAGCAAGCTGCAAAACACAGTCCTGTTCTGCTCTTTGCTCTGTGCCTGCAGCCACGGCCCCTCAGCAGCCACCAGCCTTCTTCCAGCAGGAGCCCCAGGATGCCTCCTGCTGCAGCCTCTCGCTGTCCTTTCTAGCTGAACGCACTCGCACCGCCAGCACTCCAGGCCTGTGACAGCACAGCCATTACCACGGCTCTGCCGAGTGAAGGGAATGTCATCCCTGCCTCCCCCCTGCCTGCAGCAGCCATCCTCCCCCTGCCACGGCGGGGCAGGCTGAGCAGCCAACAGCCCCGGGAAGGCAGCAGCCTGCCGAACCGCCAAGGATAGCAAATGAATGGAAAATAAAGCTGTGCGTGCACTGCCAGGCATGCTGCTCCTGCTCAGGGGACCCACACTTTGCCAGCAGGCCCAAAGAAAAGGGATTTTTTGGCCCCTCTCCTAATAAGAGGTGCTGCTTCTTCACAGCCCCTCTTTGAGCCCAGCTTGCCCACGCCGAGTCCTCGGCTGCCTGGAAGGGGCTGCAGCCCAGACGCAGCTTGGCAGCCTCAGCATCCCTCCTGCTACTTCACTTCCAGCAGCCCTTTGCAGGGAACGGCATGGTCCCCAGCAGGGATGGGGGCTGCAGGAGATGCATGCACCCTCAGGCCAGGGGCCACCACTGCTGTGGTGAGCAAGGAGGAGTAAGCAGGACCAGAGAGGAACCCTGGGAGCACAGAGCCCAGGACGATTTGCAAGGGTAACCCGAACACCCCTGTCCACCATCTTGCGTGGCATCATTTCAGTAAATGAGTTCACAAATGTTGTGAGAGAGGAATCCCCTCTGGCACCCAGGTACAAATCCTACCCATTCCCACTCTGTAAGATTTTGGAGCTAAGATGGGGCTCCAGTGATGGCCCTTGCAGGGCACAGCCAAACCCCAGCAAACAGAAGGTGCTGCCCTCTCATCTCATCACCACCACGCCACACAAAGGAGCAAAGTGTCCAGCCAAGGTTGGGTCTGGGTAGAACCTGCTTCTGCAGTGAAGATCTGCTTAAACACTAAACGAGGTGACTCCTCACTTCCCTCAATTTTGCAAGAATCTCCCATCCTGAGGCCCCTGACTTACCAACACCCACATCTCACATACGTGGGCTGCCTCTAAGGAAGAAGAGGCCAAGCTGCTGTCAGTGATGCACCAGACAGGGGATGCCATTCCCCAACCCTGATGTAATCATAATTGTCTTGATCAGGTTTCTGAAGACAGGCAATAATCTTCTTCTGAAGAAAGCAGACACACTTGGGTTTCTCCTCCCCGTCCTCCTGGGTGGAAGGCAGCCCAGCAGCTGCCACATCCCCGAGGCTCAGCATCTCCGAGGAGCAGTGATCAAAGCCACCCCTCTCCCACCACGGTAGGCTCCGGATGTCAGCTCCATGACACCCCGCCTACCCATCCTGCCAGAGAGACTTTGTGCATTCATCAGGCATCTCCAGAGAGGCACACGGCAATCTGGAAGGCCCAGAGATGCCAGACCGCTAATGTGCTTGGGAAAAGACGTCAGTGAATATTACAAACACCCCAGAGGATGAGATGCAGGCCAAGGGAGAAAAGACCTGGAAGGAATCAGACAAAAAAAGAGGGCAAGAGCAGGCACTTGGGAAATTCATGGAGGAATGGCACTGCCTTCTTTCTTATTTCAAAAAGGCAGATACTGCTGGGGCAGACTCAACTGCACTGAGAACAGGTAAAGAGGGTCTTGCATTCCTCTTCTGTCCAACAGCACAGTGTTAGGTGCTGCCACCCCTAATCTGGGGGAGACGAAAAATGCAAGGCACAACTCCTGCTTGTGCACTGCTCCTTCACAATAGACACAGCCAGCAGGGACTGAATGTCTGCAATACATCTTCACCAGAGCAGGGTTCATACTGCAGCAGGAGCATCACCTCCCCAGGGCAGCGTCACCCCACCATCAGGCTGTCAGTCATGCCAGGTACAGCTTGTGGGCACACAAAAACACATGCAGGTCACAAACCAGACTGCACCATTTAGGCACAGGGAAGCTGAGTATCCTTGCACCCTGGAACCCTTGGCTCACCCAGCCTTCCCTTCCCTTCGACCCCTTCGACCACAGCAGCAGAGCCCTGCTCAGCAGCAGGTGCAGGGGAAGCAGATCCAGCCCCGAGCTGCCAGCTGCCCAGCAGGTCTGCACAGCGTGGCCACACCAGCCTGCTCTAGCTGTGCCGAAGCCAGAGCAGCATCTAGGTCAGGCTTAGAAGAAAACAAAAAAGCAGCCGAGCAGCCCTCAGCTGGGACTGGTGGGCACTGACACAGTAACTGTACCATAACAGGCAGTACCCCAGCACAGCCCCGATCCTTCCCTGTGTCACAGGTAAGCTCCCTATGGAAAAATTAAGCAAAAAAATACAGGGAGCAGCTTTCAGATGGCTCCTGAAGTGCAGCACCTCCTCAGGAACTTGACACCTCCTCAGGAACAGGCAGCTGCCTGACCTCTGCCCATGGGCTTTCAGACCTGCTGGCTGGCAAAGGGTAACGTGGGCCCAGCCTACAGCATCTGCACTCTCTCGCCTCCCTGCAACCACTGGTCACAGCTGGAGGGCTCTAAGCAGCTCTCCCTCGCACAGGTCATGCTGGATAAACACAGCAATGATTCTCTTCAGCTACATGGGCACCCAGAGCCCTGCAAAACATCGGGGGCATTTGCCCAGCCCACTGCATAACGAACAACAGCAGGGGGCACAGAAGGGTATTCCAGAGATGTGAATCTTCTCTACAAAAAAAGATCAGAAGAGCATGATGGGCATGGTCTAACCAGAGACTTCCCTGGCTGCAACTGCCACACATGATGACTTTCACTGCGAATGACCTGGAGAGGCTTTGACCCTCTGACTTAAGAGATAACCAGCTCCTTATGCTGTTCCTAACCCCAGCACTTACTGCTAACTGACTCAGAGTGGGGTCAAACCCTGACTTTAATCAGTATTCAGTGTTATTAATAAAGCCATGCACAAAACCCGGCAGGCAGAAGAGCCCAGGCCAGTAGAAGCACCATTTATGTGCCAGCATCACCTCTGACAAAGCGGCTCTACCCACCTCCCTCCCACCAGCCCAGCCCCCAGCAAAGCCCACCTTTCCTTCGCTTTATACCAGAAACACCCCACAGCCCTCCCCTGCAAAGACAGACACAGGAGGGCACTGAGCTGCTGGACCTCCGAGTTTTTTTCTGATCCCACTCCACATTTCTTCCCCTGTGCAGGGACCGTGCTGCTGCCCCCAGCCAGCAGCTCCGAGCCCCGCCACCGTCCACAGCCACACCTTCGGAAGATACTACCAAGATGGCAAAGCCTGTGGAGACTGGGAGAAGCCAGGCAGGCTGGGGGAGGGGAATCGAAGAATCCTAGAGGGCATCTTTGCCTCCTCCCAGGCAGCAGGAGACTAAATCCAGAGTAGTGTGGCCAAGGCAAGCTGCCTCTCGGCACAGCCCCACCTCGCCCAGCCACCGCCGGGCGCCCCCCCGCCCTGGCACTGCCCACCCTTCCCGGGCAAGTGTGAGCTTCATTGTTGGTGCAAACAAAGGAGAGGTTTGTGTCTGCCGAAGAGAAAGGAAGTCAGAGGCAGAATCATCCAGCAGCCCTGGACATAGGCAGATTAAGCTGCAGAAGGTTGCAATAACGTAGCATTTTCCAGACATCAGTTAATCCCCCCGGACCGAGCTCTATCCCAGTCTCCCTGGCAGAGGTGGGCTGTGTCTCACCTGTGACCACAAAGGCAACTGATGCCCAGTTACAAACCTGACATCCCTGACCTGACACCTCCCGCGAGGCTGCTGGGGAGGCACAGGTGCAAAACACAAGACGTGTGCCCACCAGCACACCCGTGGGCATTGCTTTGGCAAGGAACTCTGTCTATTCTTATAGAGGAAAAATGAGGACACTGGGATTCCCACTGGCTGTCTGGGGACTGAGCTGTGGATCGACAGGCTGTCCGTCTCAGAGCGGATGTCTAGCTACAGGGTGAGTGGAATGGAGAAGAGCTCTCCTGCTGTTTGCCCTTCAGGGATGCATCCATCCTCTGCTGCCCTGCCCCCATCACCTCCAGGATGGCCCAAGGGAAGGTTTTGGCTCGGCTGCCTCTCCCAGTGCTCGCTGAGGTGCCCTGCTCGGTCTCCGTGATGAACCCCAAGTCAAGGAGGGGCTGCTTGGGGCTCTTTTCAGCAGTAGTATAATGCTGGCAGGCCTCGGTTTGCCGTGGCCATTCCCTGGATCCCGGGTTTCGGCAATCATGACCTCGCTCCTCTTGCCCTGTTGCTGCTTAGGAGGACCTTGAGCATCAGCAGGGGCAAGGAGGCTGGATTCCAGGTTCAGAAAAACATCACTGGCCCATCTGCCCGCCGACAGCTTTTCCCAACCTTAATTCCCAGCAATTACCCAGCACCTGGCAAGGGTCCCTTCCCTGGGAGGCGCTGATCATGTCGGGCTTCACACAGATGCTGCCTGTCCGGCAGCCAGGACCAGACCCGTAGGCTCTCCCTGCCCGGCGCTGCAGCACGGCGACCCAGAGGACGCCCGTCGGAGACACACCTCCTCCCTCTGCTCCCATTTCTGCCACATCATTTTCCCTCCGCGGGCTGTCCCGGCGCACAGGAGCCGCCGGCTCCACCTCCCGCGCCGCGCACCGGACACCCCCGGGGCGCGCAGGCGGGTCCCCGCCGCCCCC